CTTCTCTAGTATAAAAAAGAACATTATTATTAAAATACGGGAATACACCTTGGAAATTAAAGACAACGTTAGAAATTAATGAGTTCTTTATGATAATTCAATGAGGTTTGAGAAGCACATTTCAAACTGTGTTCAACGGGCTTACGTAAAATTAAAGCTATTGTACAATAGTCGCCAGGTTCTGTGTGCTTGTCTACGGTATTTGTTTAACGGTAGCACAAAAAACCTAAATTCAGGAATTTCATAGTTTTTTTGAGGGAAGTTTTATTATATACAATACAGCAAAGTGATACAACTCTCTTCCTGTCCATTTTAAATCTCTTGCCCCAGTAAGATTTAAACAGTACATTTTTTTATTTTATTTTAGCAGACAGTACAATATTAATTGATATCACTAATGCAGAGAAGTACTTACCTGTTATAAATTAAAAATTAAGAGAATTTACTTATGCTAGACCAACATTATTGTTTTTTTTTTTGATGTTCGAGGTTGAGTAGAGCAGGCCGGATAAGTGCCTGTCGCTAGTCCAGCACATAGGTACATACATTTTTTACATTTTACAGCAAAATGTATGATGTGGAAATAAAGGCACTATTATTATTATTTCAATCAAAAACTGTGGAGGCTTATTCCTCCTGAGCCTTTTATAGTCATCAATGATGCTAACCACCACCCAAGGAAATGCACAAAAATACCCACGTTTTCTCGACAAAGCATTAAAATAATTCACTGACTTACTTTTAATAAGAAAAAATTTAAGAAGGATTTGCTGAAAAAATTCGAATAAACTTCTTTGTAAGGAATTGGTTATTGACCTACTTCGCGTTCAGCCATAACTCTGCAAATTGAACATTGGTATGGGTGCAAGATAAAAGGTTTGTAGGAAGGCATAACATCCCTCGAGGGACTTGCTTGCCAAAGGATTGTGAAAAATGGAGCAAGTGTGTCGAACAAGTGATTGATTAGAAGAAAGAATGTGTGAAACTGCAAACATGTTTACATCCCTTTAGTATTTTTCTAAATTTTAAGAATGGAGTGGTATTGTAAATATTAGATTTTTTAAAATAATAATACTTTAAAATATACAATTTTTTTAGAAAATTTAAAAATATATGCTACTCAACCTTTCTAGATGTCGCCTGCATGTATTAATAGCATGTATAACAATTAAAATGTGAGGCTTTTAACCAAAACTAAAATCTTATATTGTTAGAAAAATGTTTTACATAATGCGAGAATTGTGTAATTGATGAGGACGACTTAGAAAGCGGTAGTCAATTGAATAATAAACGTACATTTTGTGGATGTTAAATTTCAGTTTCAGTTTCACTATAAATTAAATTAAGTGTAATTGCAATTGATACCGATCATACTACTCTGAGATCGATCAAAAACAAGTGCAAAAATAAACCGACGAAAGCAGACTTCCCGCTTATAATTATCTATTTCAACTACATTATACTTTTACAGTTGGTTCAAGTTGTAGGTCAGTAACTTGAAATGACGTAAACAGCTTTTGCTTTCGTTCGGAGTTATTTAATGCACGTCGATTACAGCGTGGCGACGTTTAAGTTCCATTAAAGGTAAAATGATGCGTGAAGCTTTTAGTAATGAGCCTGACAATGTGTTGCGTTAGTGCTGGTAGGAGCTTGGCAAGAAAACACTCGATGTGCTTTCGTTTTTTTTCATTTTCATTTGGAAAAAAAATGGTTAGTTACACTTCGGAAGGAAATTTTGAAACATACATTAAACTTTGATAGCTGAATTTACATAATTTTCATGATAGTTTGCTGCACGAATATACCATTAAAATTTATCGGTTGATTGTTACATGTGGCCGTACATCAACAACATTATGAATGTCTTTTGTTTTCACGATTGCACGGGAACCTATAGTATAAACGTAATAGCGAATGGGAAAATATGGTTTTAATGGGTGAACCAATTTGATTATTAAATAAACTGCTATAAACTATTTCGTGCCTATTAGCGAAAACTACAGACTACGAAACCCGAACAAATTATCGTAAATTAGAATATGCTGTGTGGCAATATATTTCTGTTTGTAACGAAGTGATATTGATATATAGAGATATTCAAATTTAGTACTCAGTTTTGATATCACGAATACAACAAAATGATTGAAGATAATTGTATTGCAGACTTTTTAAAGGATTAAAATATTATATTGTAATAATAACCAATGCATGAATCTCTCCTGAAGAATGAACTAAACGGGAATTTTTTGCATCAAAATAATAAGCAATGAACAAAAATTATGCTTTCTCGACAAAAATTTAACGCAATTAGAGTTAGAAATGTCGCGTTACAAGAATTTTATCGTCAGTAGTCATTAAGAATGAATTTTAGAGTCCTTTTGGAAAGTATAACATACAACGAGTTGTATAAACTTATCTAGACCCTAGTAGATATGTTTGAGAAAATTGGCATTGAAATTTACATTTGTTTACTTGCAAAAACATATTGCACTTGCACACTTGCATTGACGATGCACAAATATGACACTTAATAAAATTATAATAATTTATTCCATTGCTGGATTTTTGTTTGGCAATAGTCGTAAATAAAAGCTGCATGTTTATACATGTGAAAACCATGTGTTTTAATTATTGTTCAGATTGTAATATTGTTATTGTGCATAATATCAATTATGATGGTAAGTACTTAATTGTAGCGTATCATGCTCTAATGCATTCTAAGTTACGGAGCAGTACTTCGTTTATGGCTACAATTGGCTGCCGTGATGATTCTCCACTATTAAGTTGTTGTCAACAGCTGGTATTCATAAAAATCGTGCGTATATTCCTAAAAGTTCGGATAATTATGCTATAAGAATTATATTTGCAAATTTCTTGTTTCTTTGTTGTTGTTGGCTTCTTCAAAGCTTCCGATAATAATGATTATGACAGAGATTTGGCAATAATTTGCTAAAACCTTTTCTTAAATTGAAATTGTCTATCCACAATAGTCTTCACTTTGGCTTTACATAATCTTCTTAGTTTCAAGATAAGATAGTTGTTTATTTGTTTATTTGGAAAGTGTTGCCTCCTTAAAATGATTTTAAATGGAGAAATAATATACCTATTTTGAAAATGTACAACTTTCTGTTTTAAAAGTCCAAATATTCAATAAAAACTACATAAAATAACATAGATATAATAACATACTTTCGAATTGAGAATATGGTTGTGCCATATTTTCAATGTTAGAAAACATATCTATAAAATAGTTCTCCCAAAATTATGATATCCATGATGTAATAAGTTTGACATCTTCAATTTGAAAATGCTTTCAAAATATACTTTCCATTATACGGTACAGTACCGTTTGCTTTGAGTGAATCGCATATAGTGGCTCCATGAAGCCTGACAAACGATTCATCGTACAAACTTTCAGCGCAGTTTCAGTTTATACCAATGTAAGGTGTAGGGGTTGGGGAACAGTAAATATCGAAAGTACATTGAAAAGTTGCGGACTTTCAGAATCATTTATAAAAGTAAAAGGTACATTCAGAACACTATTATTACTACATTTACTAACTACATCTTTTAAGTATGTTACAGAGATTAGGGATTTTTCCCGAATACATCTGAATTTAGCTATCTGTTTAAGAATATTCGGAGCCACGTCCAAATTTTGTACGTAATACATACGGATTTTTGTATACAGTACCAAAATTTGGTATGTATAAATACGGATCCTTCCATTTTTACAAAACTAGATCAGACCAAAATAGGCGTTGAAGTAGTTGCTTTTGTTTATATTTTTAATGTGTTTAAAACTAGGAAGGAATATGTGCTAAAATTTTGCCGGTTAAGTGTGGTTCTTTATTTTAGGTAGCGGCAATTAACATGTTCATGAACATCACTTTGTATTTGTTAATAAAAAGGGGTTAATTTCATTATCTTTTTTTGTAAGAGTTACTATAAGATTAAGCGGACAATCGAACACTAACAGAAAATTTACAAATTAACCGGCGGTAAAATCTTTTCTATAGCCCTCCCTCCTTTCATTTTAGAGATTAAAACAAGAAGTTGGTAATAACTTTTTTTCATCGTCCAGAAGTAGTATTCTGCATGACAAAAATTCGATGTATATAATAATAAAAATACTAGTTTTGTATAGATATAATTAATGCAAATAATGTAAATATCTGTTTCGGATTACCTTTCTCTCTTTAACGATGGTAAACATTATTTTTATTCATAACTATTAATGTATCTTTAACCCATTTTTAAAAGTATTTCTTAACTACCTTCATTTGTTAAAAATGATCAAAAATCATTGGTCAATAAATAACAATCAAACAAAACAGGTACAACTTTTTGGATGGAATTGACATAATGCTTGATTTAAAGCAACTATTTAGTTGAATATGTTTAGGTATATATCTAACTAATTTAAAACTAGCAAAAATTCAATATAAAATCATGCGCATTTCTGTTGTTAAAACGAATCAAGTTGCTACATAAATATCTAAAATTTTAAACTGCGGCTAAGAATACTTTGAAATTCTCAAACGAAGCATTTCATTTTGTTAAAAAAAAAACTTAAGATATTGGGAATTTGCTAGTTTTATTTTAAACCGACATAGTCTTGAGTATCTGCGAAGCTTAGTTATGTTCAAATCGAGCATAAGCTATTAGAACCAAGTATTTTGTTTTTTCCGTGCAGGCTGCTACAATCTTATCGTATGACACTGCGTGTTCGCCGAAATTATAAACACTCGGTTTTTCCATGAAAATTTAATTGGGATCTGGGCACATTTTGACGCAATACTGCCGAAAAACAAAATGCGACGTCCAAATTGAACAGCGGCAATTTCGGTTGCGCATATTTAATGTCTCTTCTTAATATTATTTTTTAATGTTGGTTTCAAACGCTCCATTATCAGGGCCTAGAACAGCTGAAGATTGTGAATTTATCATCCGAAATGTTGAGCTAATAACAAATCTAATATAAATGTTTATCGTTTCAGATGCACGGCATTATTGATGATAATTTCCCTCTGTCCCACGATATTCTTAGTTCGATCAGAAGAGCATCACTTCAATTTCAACGTAACGTCTTATACGAGAGGCCTCCCAGATGATCTCAGGATTATAGTGGGGCGCGCTTTGAACATAGAACGGGCCTCTTTGGGTTTTGTTACGAAAATCCCTTGTAGCATAGAGGAAACGGCTACATGCCCCCCTACGAAATACCGAAAAGCGACAGGGGAATGCAACAACGTTCGTCATCCCCGTTGGGGTACCAGGGGGGCAGCGTTTTTAAGATTGCTTCCTCCAGATTATGCAGACGGTAAGTTATATTTCGTCAACTAGCTTATAAAATTAGTTGCTCGCTTTTATTATGGTTATTATTTTTATGGTTTATATGGTTTTGGTTTAAATTCAAGGCGAACGTATTAAGGAGTTATACAAATTTGACAGTAACCACAAAGTAAACGATTAAAAAACTTTTTTCATTCAAAAAATTGTACATGTGAATAATAATTAATTTAACGAGCTTTAATTTGCACTGATTTTATCACTTCAAGTCTCATATTCTCAATCAATTGCGACATGTTCATTATAAATACGACATAATATAGAGTATCTCTACAAATTTCATGTCGTTTGTAAAAAATAGATTTGAATCTTATTAGAAAAATTTGAGTTTTCTGCCAGTGATTTTTTAAAATTATTCTTTTTAAACTTGTTTAGGTTTATTTTGGCCACAATAAAATAACTAATTTTTGAAATGCCCGTATACTATATTTAAAATAAATAGGTCAAATTTATTGATAATTTAGAAAGCTGATGGATGAAATCTTTAGTATTCAGAATGCTGTTATTTAAAGAAGAGGCAGAAGAACAGAGGGTTTGGTTAGTTTTGGTTAGTTTTGAGGTCTTGACATTTCTTTTCACACAGTTTTTAACACATTCCACGATCAATATGGACAATTCAAAAAATTATAGTTTATTTGATTTTATATATTTATAGAAAATTAATGTATAACTACAATTTTACAAAAATGGTTATATATTTAAATATATTTAAAGAACATTAAAATTAAATATTTTAACGAGCCTATAGGTGATTCCGCTCTAAGGGAAAACAAGCAATACAAGACAATGAGATAAAAAATTACAGTTAAAACAGAATCACCCGTAATCTACGTCAAAAATTTAGAAAACACTTGGATTAGTCTTTTATTTTGTCAAATTTTTATAATTGTAATTTAAGTGCAAAATTCAAAAACTTCGAAACCAATGTGTGGGATTGTGTAACCGCATCTCTAATGTTTATAAACAGATTGGAAAGATAGAGATACATTTTTGTTCGTTTCTGACGAAAACTGTAAATAACACCGAACGGATGAATAAGGCAGGGGATTTTTAACAGTGCCCCATCATTGGAGCGCCATGTTTTAAAGGGGATTTTCCTTAAACGCCGTGAAATTTAAAAATGAGTAAAAAAATGAACTACTGTATTTTAATTTTTATTTACAAGGACTGGTGTTTAATAGCGGTTTTTTTGTATTTATTTTGAGTATGTTTAGCATGACTGTGCCATATACCGGGTAAATAGAGTAAGTTGAAAGCTAGACTGCTCCACACCATGGCAAATTTAATTAGAAACGATAATGGTTTTTAACCTACTATTTATATAAAAATATCTATCTATTATTATTATTATTATTATTATTATTATTATTATTAAATATGCAATAAAAAAACGCTGTAGCGTAATTGTTTGCGATACCTTATGGAATAATGTTTCCATTGCTTTAAGGGGTTAAAATGATGAAAATATTTTTATCTTATTTTCACATGAGTAAAAGATAATCAAATTTTATTTACTCTGTTTCCAAATGTTCTATTACACTGTGCACAATGATTCGTAGATTGAAACGTTAAATTGTACGTTGCTCGAAAATATCGGAGTACTACCCTGACATCGAGGAATACGTTCGTGAACTGTGTCTGAATGCCTGAGCAAAGAATCACTTTCTCTTTCATGTCGGCCTGTAATTAAGTAAGAATTAAGGTGGTACCTGTTGGCATTAACGAAAATATCCGGCGTTATTTTGTTAACCTTGATGCGGGAAGTGTAGAATGTACTAAAATAATTACGGTTCTGGGTTGTTCTATTGTTATCGAAAGTGAAACAGATATTAGCAATTTCCACCTGACCTTGATCGGAATTTAGTGTTCTGATCGGGAGAAATAAATCCAGTTATTACCTGTAATGGTTTTAAATTAATTTCATTTAATAAAGCACTTTGAAAAGGGAAGTTACGTTCTTGTCAGGCTGGTGGAGGAGCTAAACGTATAAGACGGATATGGACTTTTACGGACCCATCATCGTTGACCAACACATTTACGATTAATAGAATCCTCTACAATTTCATTAAAAGGAAAAATATTTTCGGACATTCAGGCAACACTAATGGCAAACTGCAAGAAATTACCAACTGATCGAAAAAAAAAGCCTATTGCTAATAAACCCACTAGGCTCGCAGCCGATGCTGGTTGTCTCTTCTTGATTAAAAAGAAACACTTTCAAAATATGGTTAGTAGAGGAAATTGGCTAACCCTGCCTGTGTGAATCATTGGAAGATAACGATCGAATGTTTCCCAATGATGGCGGGGTTGAAAAGTAAATGTTGTGTATTGAATATTTTTGCAAAAAACGTGTATACTGTATAATTTTGTAAAATGTAAACTGTATAAGTTTTTTAAGTATTTTTAGCCAGAAAATAATATAACATCTTATTAACTCATATAGACTTCTTTAGGAAGGAAAGTTTTCCGTGTAAATTGAAATTTTGTAAGTGCTTGATATCATAAGTTTTTAAAGTATTTTTAGCCAGAAAATAATATAACATCTTATTAACTCATATAGACTTCTTTAGGAAGGAAAGTTTTCCATGTAAATTGAAATTTTGTATGTGCTTGATGTCAGGAAAATATGTTTGTTTTATTGTTTCTTTAGTAAGTAAGTGAGAGAAAATCAGATTTAATTTATTCTCAGGATTAAGAACGTAACAACTACAGTAACTTATTGCGATATTATGTCTAAATTTCAATTTTTGGGATACAGGGCGTTTTCTGAACTAATATTTAACTTCGTATAAGGCAAATAAAACGCAAACTGTTAAAATACTTTCAGTTTCTTTTGGTTACTGAAGTACTCTATATTGAAACACAAAAATGTAGATATGATTAATTTTGCTGCTTAATAATTTGGAATTTACTGAAAATATATAGATTTATATTTGGCAATCACCACTATCAAGGCTTAGTTTTGTAGCGGACGTTTCATCTTCTTAGATTATGCATTATTATGATTTTGGCACACTCTCATTTAAACACATGTTCGGTATAACTTTTATCAAGAACTAAATGAAACTAATAACATTTTATTGAGACGCACGCTTGTGAACTTATCTAATTTGAAGTATAATTTTGATGTGCAATTTTTATTTATCTGTCTCTGGGTTGCGAATTTTTACCAATTTCATTTAATTTATTCTAACCAAGGCTAACAAACAAACAAACAAAACACAAACTTCATCTTTTGTAGTTCATTTAAGTACAATAAATAAATAGTTAAACAAAAACTGTGGACTTATTTTTAAAATGACATTAACGGCAAAAATTTTATTTTTGGTAAAGCATGTTCATGAATATATTCGTGATTTTTTAAAATTAACCCAGAAATTAATCGTCGTAGAAATAAAACAAGCTAGTGATTAACATTGTGCAATTCATAACTTTCGGAAATAATGTTTTAAAACTGAAAAAAATCCAAATGTAAAGCTCGCTAGCAAGAAGTGAGTACGCACAATATTTCAAAAGAATCACGAGAAAGTGTAATACAATTATTGACGGTGACGAACACGGCTAATAAAAGTAACTGGAAGAAAGTGACAACAGATGTGAAAGTCTTGTAATATTGTTAAATATTACGCACCTTAAAAACTCGTTTTCAAAAGAGCACATATATGTTACGATAATATTTTATAACATCGTAAACAACCCATAGCACTAGTTTTATTAAAAAGGCGGTTTTTATAATTAGTGTCTGCAGAAATGTCTATAAAGTATAGAAAAAAATCTTATTTTTCTTGTTGCAAACGCAAGAAGAACAAATTATATCAACTTAAATCCTCTTAATTAAACATAAATATGGGCCGCATTTACAAAAGTAGTACAAAAATTTGCCTTTGTGGAAAGTATTTATGCTTGCCTTGAAATGATGAGCTATTGTTACGATGGGTGATAAATAACTAGGTATACAAAATTCGGCCTTCGTATCGACTTTTACACGCAATAGGACCAAGCCTATGTGACAAGATCAGGAGAACCTTTAAAGGAATCACGTACACATTCCGTTACTTGATTGATATTCGTGCACCATATGTGAAAAATTATTTTTATGCAATATAAGGGAGTCCAAATTAGTTTTACAAACGAAATCAGTCGATTCGCAATGTATTTAATATTTTTAAATAGATTGCATATACGGGTAAGAAAAAAAAAACAAAACCCGATTTAGTATAATGGGACCAAACGTCACTTTATTCATTTTGTTTGATCATTAGTTTGATCAGTACAGTCATACAGTATTGCACTAATAACTCAAGATATTGTGTTACAAGTGTGAAAAAGATCACTTTAATTACGAGTTTTATTTGGCACCAGAATAACTAGTGTTTAATAAACGAGTGTATGAGGACGTTTTTTTGCAAATTGCCAATACAATCACTATACATACATGTTTCGCACAACCTTTTCTCGAATTGTCTTAAATATCATATTCCTTATAGTTTACTAGTTAACTATGAGTTTTAGTTAAAATTGAGGTTTAACGTCATTTGTCGTTGAGAATCACTATAATGTTACACATTTTTTGAAAATTTGTGGAATATCGAGAAGCCAGTAAGTAGGTTTAAAAATATCTACGTTCTACATCAACAGCGGAACTGATTTATCATAATTAGCAAAATCGCAAATTATCGTTTCAAGTATAGGAAAATTTCAAGGATATAAAAATAACCGTGCAGCTGAAAAACCATACGAATCAGCAAAAAATATTTGTATCGAATTATAGCTACCACGAAATTGAGGAAATATTTTTCTTGGTCTCTTTGAAACTGTTAAAGAAATATGAAGGAGAATTTATTGGTTATTAATAAAACATAATCAGCGTTAAAGAAAATTATAAAAGTGAAGCAAAAACTGAAATTTCTATAAAATAAATGCAAAAAATATTATTTTAAAAACGAAAGGAAAAAAGCTAAATTAACCAACATTACCGTTTTTTTAACTTTACTATTTTATTAGTAACTATTCGGTCTAGTTGACAGGCTCTAACTAATGAGAAATTATTTGTTTTTTTTTTCACTTTTTACAATAGAAAAAATGTACTTCAATTGTCAATATAAATTTAAACTAAAGCTCTAGAAAATACTCAAAAGTGAAACTCTCCTTTCAGTTCGCAAAAATTTTTTTCGAATAATAACTAGCTTTCTCCAAGTGAATATTTATTTATCTGTATTTACCTACTAGCAAACTCTAGGTAAATCCGAATAGATGTGAATCAATTAGCCTAACCATGTAAAGCTATTACAGAACTAATTATACTTTTCGAGTTCGCTTCCTAAAAAATATGTACTGGATGATCCCACAAAAGCTACCTTATGATTTATTTTTACAGTATTATAGTTTCATATTTTTTAGTTTTGGTTAGTTTCCTAAATGAAAGGAAAAAACTAAAACAATCCACAATACTGTTTTTTTTTTAATTTACTATTTTATTAGACACTATTCTATCTAGCTGAAAGGTTCTGTCCAATGAGAAAGTATTTGTTTCTGTTTCAGTTTTCATAGTGGGACAATAAATCTTTAAGTCGTAAATACAAATTTAAAAAAAAGCTTTACAAAATACTCAAAAGTGAGGCGCTCCTCTTTTTTGCGAAACAATATTATTTCATATTATTTCATCATTTTCCCAGTCAGTTCACAAAATTTTTTTTCGAATATTAACTAGCTTTCTGTAAGTGAATATTTAAATATTATTCAATCATATGCATGCATGCTACTTTTGCTTCAATCTGTATTTATCTACTAGCAAATTCTAGGTAAATCCAAATAGATGTGAATCGATTAGCCTAACCCTGTAAAGCTATTTGATATGTCTTGCTAGCGGAACCCGTACCGTAACAGATGTAACAACGACGAGACTGTAGGATTGCAGTGAGAGTGGGAGGCTGGGGAGTCCTAGAACTAAGAATATACCGATACTTTCCGAGTTTGCTTCTTAAGAAATACTTACTGGATGATCCTGCACAAGCTACTTTATGATTTATTTTTGCAGTGTAATAGTTTGCTATTCTTTAGTTTTCGTTAGTTTTGTAATTGAAAAAAAAAACTAAAATAATCAACAATACTGTTTTTTTTTACTTTACTGTGTTATTAGCAACTATTCTGTCTAGTTGAAGGGTTCTTATAGTGAAAAATCTTTAAATTGTCAATACAAAATTAAACTAAAGCTCTAGAAAATACTGAAAAATGAGACTCTCTTTTTTTTGCAAACAATATTATTATTTCATCATTTTCTCAGTCAGCTCGCAAATTTTTTTTTCAAATATTAACTAACTTTCTCTAAGTGAATATTTAAATAAACTTTTTTTAATCGGGATTTACCTAGCAGTAAATTCAAATGGATGTGAATCAATTAGCTTAACCATGTAAAGCTATTGGATATGTCCTTCTAGCGGAACCCGTATAAAACAACTTTTTATCATATTTAACATTTACACATTTACAACAGTTATAGAACTTTTATAGTTATAGATCTACCCCGGACGAGACTAGGATTGGAGTGAAAGTGGCGGAGGCTGGGGAGTTCTCTAGAAGTAAAAGTAGATCGATACTTTCGGAGTTCGTTTCTTAAGAAATACTCACTGGATGATCCCCCAAAAGCTACTTCATTATTTATTTTCCAGGAAAATTTCTTCCTCGAACATCCTCGACCAACTCTCTGCCAAGCCCCTTGGAGGTTGTATCTGTTATCCAAAACCTACCCGCGCAATCCCACGAATGGATTACCGCCCTTCTTGGTGCGTGGAGCGAACTGATCCTTCACGACCTAGCCAGCACAGGTAATTTAAAAAGTGAAGATTGCTGCCGTGGCTCTAAGGACAATCATGGCGAGTGTTATGGAAACTTAGGAAAGGGTCAATGTAGGCAATATCTGAGAACGTTGCCCGCTGCGGATTCCGACAATTGCGATTTTGGTTAGTGGCAGTTTCGGAGTTTAAACAATGACCATGTCAATTTTGGTATTCCAGCGTACCGAAACCAGATGAATTTAGCCACATCGTTCCTGGACGCTTCGGCCGTATACGGAAACACTGACCAACAACTAGAAAGGTTGCGCACTTACGACGCAGGATTAGTAAACATATCTGTGTGCACTGCGTGTCAATCCAATGTGCTGTATTCTGCCATCTTAAAGGAGCACAATAGGGTGGCGGTTGCCTTGGCAGGCATCAACAGGCACTGGTCAGATCATGTGATATTTTACGAAAGCAGGAGGATCGTGACTGCTGAAATTCAACATATTACCTATAATGAGTTTCTACCAACCATACTGGGGCAGGAATCCATCGTTAATTCCGAATTGGAACTGAAAACACATGGTAGATATTCCAAGTACTCTAGCTCGCGCAGAGCCGGAATATACAATTCCGTTGCAATGGCCGCCATGCCTGCTCTCTTGTCGATGCTCCCTAACAAACTGGTAACTATTAAGTCTGTGCTACAATTGAAGTGTAAACCGTTTTTCGATGTTGTAGCTGAACGAATCTGCGGATTCTTTTGCTGAAATGGTAGATATCCTCATTTCGATGCCAGCGCAAACCCCTAGTCTAGATATCATGGTCCCTCTTCGATCCGAATGGGATACGTCGGCATTATTTCTGCACATGGGTAGAGATCACGGTGTCCCAGGCTACACCAACTGGTTGCAATACTGCGGCAACGTTAGTTTTGCAACTAGACCGACTTTCGAAGATCTCCGGATGACTTTGAAAACTGAGCACGTGAAAATCCTCAAATACTTATACGCGTCACCCGAAGACATCGATCTGATCGTCGGTGCGTTGCTAGAAATACCGATTCCCGGGTCGGTGGTGGGACCAACGCTCAACTGTCTGCTGAAGGAACAATTTACTCTGCTGAAAGAGTCGGATAGGTTTTGGTACGAGAACGATCTACCCCCGAGTTCGTTGTCGAATAAACAAGTCAAGGAAATTAAAAAAATAACCCTAGCAGGCTTACTGTGTGCCAACACAGACGACTTAAAAAGGATACAGCCCAAAGCTTTCGTTCAGGCCGATCCTTTCCTAAATGCTAGGATTAGCTGCGATCAGCATCCACTACCGAACTTATCCGAGTGGTTGGAAATGGATCACTTGACTGACGTATCAGAAGACTTGTTGATGGAAGCGTTGGCTAAAGCGGAGCAGGAACTTTTGGAGAGAAGAAAGATGGAGTACAGAGTTTATACGGAATGTAAGTTCAAATGACATGACGGCGGCTCAATTTTGTATATTTATTTTTATATTTCAGTCGGGGGAGTCGATCCAAAATCGCCACAGGGAATCGCGGCTGCTTTCAGCAAACCAAACGCAAATGCTCTTAAGTTGGCAAACACTTCCCTTCTTTTTGAATTTGCGTCGAATGAAATAGTAAATTCTTTGTTGTAAGTATTGTTTCTAGATTTTCGAAATGAAGTTCTGCAAGATTAGTTAACTTTCAGTGGAACTTCTATCTTGTTGGTGTGTTTTACAGCATGTTTGAACATCTCAACACCTCAATAACCCTATAGGATAACATAAAAGATAAATTGTTTCTATCAGAGTAGGAAATTTTCTTTGGGTTGGAAACTGCTGCTGAAACAATTTATCATTTACTGTTTCGGAAATATTTGTGACATGTCTTTGCAACATGGTCTCTCTCATTTGCAGCTTAAGAAAGCATTTTAGTTATCATTTTTGAAAATTAAAAGAGAAAAATTCGAATTTATGCTGGCAGAAAAAAAATTGACTTTGTCACATTTAACTAGAAGGTGCTGAAGTTTAGTTTGAAAATGGAATATTTTTCAATCACAAATTATAATGAACAAAATTAAATTTAACGTAGTTGATAATATCATTTTATTTAACAAATTCCTAATATTACTGAACTCGTATATAGAGTATCATAATATTTCATGGAGTCATTTCTCAAGAATTTTGAAAGTACTTCGGGTCAGAGATACCGATTTTATTGATTTTTCTGCATGATTTCGTAAAGATAATGACGAATTCTGACATTGAGATATAAAGTAACAAAATTTAATTTAATTTTTGTTTTTCTGCATAATTTATTAAAAAATTGCGATTTTTGGATAGAAATTGCTACCTGAGAATTCTGAATTTGCTCTTAACGACTCTCACATATAGTAGGGGCTGCCTTTCTTTCAATTTCACAGGCTCATGGATTTTTGTACGACACTGCATTATATTTTTGGCAAAAAAAGTCAATTCTTGAATCATTTTTAATTAAAATGTTCTTCTTGGTAAATTTACCATTTAGAAAAGCAATAACATTAATATTGGTCAACTCTGTATGATTGAAGAATTGACTGTGTTTTATCAAATATTTAGTACAGTATTTAGTATTAAAAAAGTCATGAGACTGAAACTGAAAAAAGATTTATAGATAGCGCCCAACCAAGTAAGGTTTAAATTCAGAACAGATTCATATTACTCACGTCAAAAACCCATTCAAAAAATAACATTATTTTTCGAAAATTATGCAGAAAAAAAATGAAATAATGGGCACTTAATAATCAGCACCCTGTATAATCCAGAAAAAGCCTAACGCATCACTCAACAAATTGAAGCTGTTTTTGTAAAATAACCGTACGCCACTAGATATTATATGAAACGCTAAAGTAAAAATAGTAAAAAAATGAACTGCTATAAATCTGTAGAAAAGAAAACATGTCGTTCAAGGTCATTTCGTCCTGAATTGTCTATAACTGCTTCAAGGAAGAACAGCTCCTGTTCGAATTTTATAATTTAACAAGCGAAGTTTGTAAATCTATTGTCGCCAATTAGCAAGAATAGTTCATACCAATTCTGCTTTTAACTCCTGTTTATTATATATTATGCAATTCGTAAATGCATTGTACAAAATCAAAAAATATCTTCAAGTATAGCAAATAATCTTCACATTCAAGCCCACAGAACGACAAGATTACCGCTTATTTTTCGATTTTAGGCATAAAAGACGCAGGCGTCAAGTGTTCGACAGCCAAGAGTTCATATCCCTCTTCAGAGACGATCTCAGCGAAGGTTTGCAAAATGTCGACGTGAGTTCCGTGATAACGTCCCATATTTTTAAAAACGAGCTGCAATGCGAAGATACCGGACCATGCGACGCATCAAGCCCTTACAGAACCTATTCCGGCTACTGCAACAATTTACGAAATCCAAAATACGGCCAAAGCCTGACGACATTTAACCGCCTGCTGCCCAGCGCGTACGACGATGGAATTTCAAAACCTAGAAGGGTTGGCGTTACGGGAAATATACTTCCCAACCCCAGGTTAATTTCGCGGACCATACATCCCGACATTAGCAACCTCCACAAGAGATATTCGCTCATGGTTATGCAGTACGCTCAATTCTTGGATCATGATCTAACGCTTACCCCAATTCATAAAGGGTTCGATGAGTCGATTCCAAGTTGTCGGTCTTGCGACAGCCCCCGCACAGTGCATCCGGAATGCGATCCGATCCCGATACCTCCAGGTGATAATTACTACCCTCAATACAATATCACAACTGGGAAGCCCATATGTTTACCATTTATGAGATCGTTGCCGGGGCAACAACACTTGGGTCCCAGGGAACAAGTTAATCAGAATAGCGCCTTCCTGGACGGTTCAACGGTAAGAATGACGTGCTTTATAATAAGGCTTTGGACTACTTGGGCTTTTCTCTAGATTTACGCATCGACTACCTGTGCTCTACAAAAGCTAAAAAGTCCGAATGGAAAGATGAATGTTACCATTCATCCGACCAGAGGTAAAGACTTGTTACCTAGAGATAAACACGCGGAGTGCAGATCAAAATCAGAGCTGTGCTTCATTGCTGGTGAGTGTATATTAAGAAAGGTTTACGCAATGAAAGCGAATGTAACATATTTTTAATTGTTATATTTACTGGTTTTTAGGAGACGGACGAGCATCAGAACAGCCAGGTTTGCTAATGATCCACACAATGTATCTCCGCGAACACAACAGAGTCATGGAGGGACTACATCACGTCAACCCTCATTGGGATTCCGAAAAGATATTCGAGAATGCCAGGCGTATCGTAGTAGCCGGCCTACAGCATGTTACTTATAACGAGTTTCTGCCTAGAATACTCGGCTGGAACGCGATGAATTTGTACGGTTTAAAACTTCTACCCCAAGGATACTACAAAGAATACAACCCTACTTGTAACCCCTCGATATTTACCGAGTTTGCTGCGGCCGCCTATAGAATAGGGCACTCGTTGCTGAGGCCCCATATTCCCCGATTGGACCACAACTATCAAATTGTCGATCCGCCGCTGTTGTTACGGGACTTTTTCTTCAATACTGACTATATGATGGAGGTTTGTATTTCGACACGTATTTTTTATTTTTTCAAAAAAACTTGAACGGGCTACTCTATTACTATTCTACTATTTTGGAAAACTGGGTTTAGTGCAGTTAAGCTCTCAAGTAGCCTAGACTTTTTTGTGTGCATCTTCAATAGCTGAAAGTGTGGAGACAAGCAATATCAAGGGCAACGCAAATTAATTAAATTAAATTAATGTTGATCATTTCCATCTGAATTTGGAAGGGTGGTTTGCACCAAGCGTTCTCATAGACCGAACACTCAGCGCTTCATTAAGTCTAGTGATTTCACAACTCCATGGGTGATTTCGGTAAAAATACCCACCATAAATAAGTGCTTGTTAAGTAAGCAATGACCCATCGGAATAACTGAAACCATACATAGCTTTTTCAGAGAAATTGTCAGTTATCAGAAGCGATTTCGCTTTGATTGTTAAGTAGTTTCCTCGCTAGACCACAATTTTCTATTTTATTCCAACAGCTGATCTGTATAGATCATATAGCTATTAGCTATTTTAGGGACTTCTAATACTGTAAAACTGACGCGTCTCAGACTGCTGTAATATATTACCTTATCTCACCTTATTCGTATGGTCCTATATTCCATAGGCTAAGCTACATATTTTTTTCTAAACTAAAATACTGCCAAAAAAAAATGCTTCATCCAAAATGAAAATTGTTGATTTTACGAACTTTCAGCGGCCATGTTGGTTCGTTTGAAATCTCCGATATTGTTGGTATTTTTTTTGCATGTTGCCATCAAAAATTCTAGTATTATCAGCATAGGAAGCACAGGTTTAGTAAAAAGTAGCGAGACTCTTCAATATCTCCAAAACTGCCCACTGGAACGTTGAAATTCAATACCTAGAAGTTTTTTAACATGTAGAATTCAAAAATGCTAACAGCAATGATTTCGCCGTGATATTTATAATTCCGGTGACCCTTCTCCTGTAAAGGTTCCTATATTGAAAAACTTCAAAAATTCTGAGATTTTAAGAATTTTTTTTCAAGTCATGAATTTTTGTAGTTTTGGAGATAGTTTTTTTTTTCGAAAAAGGGTTTTTGCCGTAGTTAAGTACTTAAGAAAACCAAATTTCGAAATTATGAGACTTTGCTGAATAAAAATGACAATTCATTACAATACATATAAATAGGGCGTTCTATTTAACATAACAAAATTATGACTTGTAACTTAAAAGTGGCAAATCTGGCAACATTGCTGTTAACACACTGGACATCTCATCCATAATGCTATGACTTGCGATATATTTTCGATTTTTCAACTGCCTGAGTAGCCGTAAACGCACCGTGAGTTTTAAGACATCGCATGACTCACAAGGGAAATAGTTCTTAGGTTCTGACGATAGTCTGACACCGCCCCTAAGAAATATATAAATAGACAATTGCTAATTGAAGCTGATTTAAAATGAAAATCAAGCTACCGACGAACCCCTTTTTTTTCAAATTTGAATCAAATCTGCTTGCAAATATTTAAGACAACCGCCGCTCTTGTTTTATGGCTTTTTAATGATTAGAATACTCATTACAGGAGGGACTGATAGACGAGATGGCAAGAGGTCTGGTATCAACCCCGATGGAAACCTTGGACCAATTCATAACTGGTGAAGTTACCAATCATCTCTTTGAAGACAAGAAAATTCCGTTTTCCGGTGTTGATCTGATCGCCCTTAATATCAAAAGAGCGCGAGATCATGGGATACCGTCGTACAACAACTATCGAGCTCTCTGTAATTTAAAACGGGCCACCACATTCGAAGACCTGTCGCGAGAAATACCCATCGAGGTTATTCAGAGATTAAAGGCCATCTATCAAACGGTGGACGATATCGACTTGTTCCCCGGTGGAATGAGCGAACGTCCCTTGCAGGGTGGTATAGTCGGACCCACCTTCGGATGTATTATCGCCATACAGTTTAGGCAGCTGAGGAAATGTGATCGGTTCTGGTACGAAAACGAAGATCCAGTGGTACGGTTCACGGAAGCCCAGCTGGCGGAAATCAGGAAAGCGACTTTGGCCAAAGTGCTGTGCGAGAACACTGACCTCCACAGCGATATGCAGAGGTCCGTGTTTGATTTACCATCGAATTTCTTGAACCCACGGGTACCGTGCCGCTCTTTACCGACCATCGATTTTGGTGCTTGGAGGGAAGGAGTAGGCCAGACTTGCATAATAGGAGGCAGAGCAGTGCAAGTTGGAGAGTCTGCTTTTCCGAGTCCGTGCACGAGCTGCATTTGCACTGCCGAAGGGGTAAGCTGATTAGAACTACCGGTTTTTTGGTTTGCACGTGAGGGTGTCCAAAAAACGCTCTTACCTTTCCTTTCTATAGACAAACACACGTTCTCTTTTATATGAAGAATTTATACTATATCATCACTTGCAATAACTGAATGATAATAGGTTAGACATTGTGTTTGAAAATAAGATAATTCCTTGGATGATCCAGCAAATTTATAAAGGATACGAGAATCAAGAAGAAGAAGAGCTGAAGCATGCGTACCTGGTGGTTACTTTTAACAGCTTTTTTATTTATGGGTAATATATTCAACAGTAAATTAGGATTATTTCCCTTTTAGTTTTATTGTAATAATTAAATTGGATTTTTGCTGCCCTTGAAGCTGGGAATCCTACGTCGGGCAACACAAAATCAAAAGATAATTTTTACCAAGAAATGAATTGCTAGCTTAAAAATGTGATTTATTTTTGAAAAACACAGTGGGGTACCATTTTTTCCTAAATAATCTCATGCTTATTCTTACGGCGCTGACCGCACATACAAAAGAAAAAGGGTTTCTATTCTTTGTAGGCCCCTACCAAATTTCAACAAAATATCCAAAACAGTTTCAATTAAATGTGAGGAAAAACGTTTTTTTTTTATAATACCCTATAATTTTTAAATCATTCAACATCCTGTTTTTTTTTTGGAAAGTTTGAATATTTTGAGTTTTGAATTTTGTCTATAAAACTAAAATATACTTTGCGTCGGTTTTTGTAAATACGTTTCTTGTGTCGCTTAGATATGACGCTTATGTCTATACATCTTGAAATTGCTTCCATCTCGCCTCCATCCGAGTTCGATACCTTTTCAAACATATATCATGACAAAGCCTTAAATCTGCATTTATTTTCTACCCAGAATCATATTCAGAAATTTGAAAAACTAACGTCAACACTAGGAAACCATTAAACTCTTCTGAACTACCTAACACTGTGATAAATGTATCATCGCATCAATTTTCGGAATCGGTAAAATCAGTTCTTTCAAAAGGTTCCAACTTTGTCCTTGCCCCATGTATTATCCCTATCCTAAACAAACTACCATCTTAAACCGCTAATGAAATTCGATTTGATACCGCAAAAATCTCCCTTAAATCTAGTATTGCAAAGCTTGAACGCATTGCCCTAAAATTTCTAAAATCTAATCCCGACATCGTAATCCTAAAAGCAGATAAAGGAAATGCCTACGGTGGTCATGAACACAAATGAATATCAAGAAAAGATTCAAGATATTTTTCCATACGGATTATATCGTCAACTTAAAAAAGAGTTTACGTCATCTATGGATCGCAACCTTAAATCTGTGATTAAGGCTTCTTCTCTATCTTCTCCGCGAAGAAATCTGTTACCCCTTATGACTCCAAAAATCCTAGAGTCTACGGACTCCCAAAGATTAACAAACCAGGATTACCCGTTCGACCTATTATCAGCACCATCGGTTCTCCAACATATTCTCTAGCAAAATATCTAGCTTCCTTATTAAAACCCTTCACAGGGAAAACTGACAGCATTATATTAGATACATAACATATTCTGGTTAGTTTTTGGCATAGAATCCCTCTTTACTGAAGTTTTTATTCCTGAAACTCTCACCATCATTTCAGATATATTAAAATTCGAGAATCTGGAACCAAACTTTCTCACCTTAATTGAAGAATGCTTGTCTGGAACATATTTTTCTTATAACGGTCAAATTTTTAAACAAAGTCGGGAACAGCTCTGGGTTATCCACTATCACCAGTCATCGCGAATATATTTTTGGAAGCCTTTGAGAAGAAAGCTCTCGACACCTTCCATCTAAAACCAAAATGGAAACGCGATGTCGATGACACTTTTGTTATTTGGCCTAATGGTCAGGAATCCCTAGTAGATTTTCTTACACATTTAAACTCTATACACCCTAAGATACGTTTTACCATTGAAACAGAAACTAATAACAACCTCCCATTCTTAGATATTCTTATCAATAGAAAATCAGACCTAACATTGTGTTTACAAAAAACCTACGCACCATCCGGCCCAAAACTCATCGGTTATCAACTCTCTTGTTTACAGAGCCGTAAAACTGTCTCATCCCGAGTCATTAAACCCAGAATTAAAACACCTTACCTCTGCTCTTCTCTCTAATAATTTCCACATTAAAGATATTAAGCGTTCCATCACGAAATAAAATTCACCGCAACCTTCCAATAGCAATGAAACCGAAATGAATTCCACACTTGCCGCTGTTGTCCTTCCTTATATTCAAAACAACAGTTACCACATATCAAAACTTTTAAAGAAATATCAAGTCAAAACCAGATTTACCACTTGTCCAAAAAACTCTCAACATCTTCGATTCATCAAAGACATAATTCCATGCATATCCGGCAAAGAATGCATTGGAGAGACCGGCTCAAAGAACATGAAAGAGCATTAAACTCAACATTTTATTCAATAACATTAAAATTATTGCATGTTCTTCTTCTATCAACGAAAAATCTGAGAGCCTATAGAAATCTATAAGCAACCTAAGAATCTTAACCGCGACTCAGGTCTCTATCTGTCACCGATATGGAAATCAGTCATCCGAGACCCATTCAGCTCCGCCTCCCTCAAACAGTACATAAGCAGGTGCAGAGTAAAATGCGATAGAGTTTCAGTCAAGCTCTGAAACCAACAGGATAATTGGCAAAACGTTAGCTAGTTTGACTCAACAAAAACCGACGTAGGAGGAATCCGGAAGTTTTATAAAAAGTATAACAAAAGCCTGTGGAAGTTTCTTTGAAAAACGAATTAAAATATTTTGGGCGATGCAGCGTTTCGGACATCTTTATTTTAAATTGCATATCGTATATTTAAAACATTTGTAGATTCACTGCTTTCTTTTTAGTATTTCGATTTTAAAGTTTCCAAAATTTAATTTTTTGTTTCCAGAAATGTGACACCAATAAATTTTATTTTTTTATAAATTTAAAATACAAAACCACCCTTTTTAAGTTTGGTATTGCTTGTTTCAGTTATTTTCATAATTCGTTAGTGGACACTCAGCAATAAGCACATATATTAATTACTGATTTACTACTGACCCAGTGATTGACTGTTTGCAAAATTCTAATATTTCAATTTAAAAATTTTAATAAATAGCTGCTTTCATTAAAATTAGTTTATATATTTTTTACATTCCTTATTTCTTTAGTAAATTGACCTACTTACAAAATTAAACTGAAAACTTATAACATAAAAAATTAACCAGCAAGTAAGACAAAACAAAATATTTTCAATTTGACGCACATACAATGCTGACCGTGTAAACTTTACATTTATGAATTTCTTGCTGGGCACGATTTTTTCTTCAAGCGCATTGGGAAGTATGATTTTAAGTATTTATACTTTGTTTTAACTTTGAACATTATTTTTTCAGTATTTCTGCAAAAAAATATTTTAAATTAAATTAAATCGATTTTTTCCAATACATGTCATGTTTAATGTCAATAAGTTATTGGTCAATAATGTATTTATAGTGAAATGTGATACTTATCATTAATATTCAATTTTTAAAAACTTTTATTAACTCGTATAATATTTTCTAAAATAACTATTTAAAACTCAAAAAATTACTAACAAAATGACGATTTTGCACCACATAACAACCATTTGTAAACGTTTACTTTAAAACACTGACGAATGTCAAACCAACTTCAACTTCCAGCGATGGTGCTGACAGTTTTGGTTATAATACGTAGGTTTATTTGACACTGGGTAAGTGGTGCCAAATGTTGAGAGTTTAAAAATATAATTATGTATGTGTCGCTTCAGAATCACTAATTTTGAACGACCTAATGGAATATGGAAACTGCTAACATAATGTCGACTCTGTGTGAGTTCAAATAGCGGCTAAATAAACGTTTTAGCCATCAGAAAGAAGCAGCGATCCCAAAAATTGTTGTTATATATTATTGTTTGATTCGGAAACATTTTAGTTCGATAGAGCAAAGTCATAAACCTCAGTAAATGAATTTTTAAAAAATCTATTATCTAACCTTATATGAGTATAATATTCAAGGGTGATATTCGTAGACTGACTTAATGCTAATTTAATTGTCTAAAAAAAACTTATTCCTTCCTTCCTATGCTGTAAAATGTTTGGTAGACTTCCATCGAACTTCCTTAATATTTTATTCTTTTGTAATTGGTCTACTCCAAGGAATTGTGGTCTGATCTTGTTTAAATAAATACTTTTGCTTTTAGGGGAACTGTGCTTCGTTGAAAGTAACAGATTGTTCGCAATTGCTGCGGGAGTGGTCAAAAGAAAGAATTCTGAGCGACGAAGTATGCACAGCGCAATGCGGGTTTCTCTTAAGGGGCGGCAGACAGCAGACGAGCACGTTCGGTTTGGTTCCTCCACCAATCCGAAGTGCGAGGCCGAAAACGCTTAGCAGACCGCCTAGATTCCAAGGCTCTAGGTCGGTTGATGTGTTTGGAGGGTTCAAATTCCCGGACCTATCACCGTTCATTTCAAAGTGAAGAAAGCAACGAAAGAAGCTTTAAATCGCATTGCATTCAAGGTTATTAATGTGCCATTTGGTCGACGCTGCCCATATTTCTACTGTGCGGCACAGAAACAAATTATATAGGTGACAACGTCATGGAAATGAATACCAGAAAAAACATGTTACGAAGTTCACCGTGTACAAATTATTGGTATCGAATAGCTGAGTTAAATTAGTTAATATCTAGTCTATAGTATTCTGTTGACTATTATCTAAGGAAAATTGAAAGAAATTTTGCATTGTATAAACTTACTTAGGGATCTCTTAGATATCTTATGTCATTTTCGTAGATAAATCCTGTATCTATATAATTTCAGCTCATTTAGATGGATGTAGTCCTTATTTAACATACATCGCCATTTTGTTTCATTTCTCTCCTTCATATTATTATTACTTCTCATTATTTATAATCTCAAATTAGTCTGTCGCGTAGATATTTAATTTGTATAGTCTGTATATTATCAAAACAATTGTTACATAAATGCCTTTTATTTCCGTTTTATTTTTTGGATAAGAACATATTTGAAAAAATGAAGAATGGCTTAACTTCTTCTTCTTAGCGTGCCTTGTCCTATCGAACGTTGGCGATCATCAGCGCAATCTGAACTTTGTCCACCGCTCTTCTAAAAAGTGTCCTGGCGCTAACACCATACCACTGCCGCAGATTCTTCAACCAGGAAGTTCTGCGACGGCCTGGGCCTCTCCTACCATCTATCTTGCCCTGCATAATGAGTTGGAGTATTTGGTACTTTGTGTTGCGTAGAATATGTCCGAAATATTCTAGTTTTCTCTTTTTGATAGTGTGTATGACTTCTGTTTGTTTGTTTAGTTGATTTAATATGTCTATATTTCGGACTCTGTCAACCCACGAGACTCGCAGCATGCGTCTGTATGTCCACATTTCGAAAGCCTCCAGTCTTCTGCACATGGTTTCGGTCAGCGTCCACGATTCGGCCCCATACATAAGCACACTAAAGACATAGCATTTGAGAATGCGAATCCTCAAAGCTAAATCGATATCGCGGCTGCATAACACGGCCTTCATTTTAACGAAGGCGCCCCGGGCTTGCTCTATTCGGGATCTTATCTCTTGTGTGTTGTCCCACTCTGCGTTAAGTATGCGGCCTAAATATTTGTAATGTTGGACGCCTTCTATGGGTTTTCCGTCGTACTCCAAATCACCCCACACATCTCTATGTTTGCTTACTACTAGCCATTTAGTCTTTTTGATGTTCAGCTTGAGTCCCATCTCCCTACTTCTGTCTGCCACGCAGTTCAAAAGTTCCTGCAGGTCCTCCAGCGTACTCGCGAGAAGCACAGTATCGTCCGCGTATCTGAAGTTATTTATAACTGTACCGTTGAGAATAATACCTTGGTGTTTCTCGTATAATGCTTCTTCAAAAATGCTTTCGGAGTACAGGTTAAATAACAGAGGCGACAGCACGCAGCCCTGTCTCACACCACGCATGATTCGAACCTCATCCGACATCTCTCCGTTCACTACTATTTTTGCTTTCTGGTGCCAATATAGATTTGCTATTATTCGTATATCTCGTTCATCTAGGTTTTGTTTCCTTAGTATTTCAATGAGTTTACTGTGCTGGACGGTGTCGAAAGCCTTCTCATAATCTATGAAACACGCAAACGCATCTACGGACACATCCCGGCATCTCTGCACCAACACCTGCATGCTGAACAAGGCCTCACGTGTACCCATCCCATTTGGGAAACCGAACTGTGTATTGCTCATATTCTCTTCACATTTGTTGTAAATACGGGCATGAATGATTTTCAGGAATATTTTTAAAACGTGACTCATGAGGCTAATTGTGCGGTAATCACTACAATATTCGGCGTTCTGTTTCTTTGGTATTGTTACAAATGTCGAAAGCAGCCAATCTCTGGGAATTTTACCACTCCTGTAAATTAAATTAAATAGCCTTACCACAACGTTAAGTGATTGTTCTTCTAAAAGTAGTTTTTGGAGTTCAGAATGTGTTTCGTCGGGTCCTGGCGCTTTGCCCCTCTTTGCAAGGCGTATTGCATGTTCCACCTCTTGCCTGGTTATTTCAAGTCCTTCTCCTGGCAAGTCCATGAGCCCGTCTCTGATGTCCCCAAAAAGTTCCTCTATATAACTGCACCATTCCTTTAATTTTGTTTCGGTATTAAGGATGACTTTCCCCTGTTGGTCCATTAGTAATCCTGTGGACCTGCGTTTATATAATCCGGCCGCTTCTTTAATCTTTTTATGCATGTTAAAGAAATCATGTTTGGCTTGCAGACTTTCGATTTCACTGCATTGTCCGGACAACCATTCATGTTTTGCCTGTCTGATTTTCCTTCTAATTTCTCGCTGAAGCAGAGAGTACTTTACTTGGTTCTTGTTTTTTAAAAGCCTTCGTTGTTCCATCAGATCTAAGATCTCGTCCGTCATCCAACAGTTATTCTTACGTCGGGTTTCTGTCTTGAGCTTGGCTTTGCTAGTTTCAACTAAGGCATGTTTAATTACATTCCATGATGTTTCTATGTCTTCTTCCCTAGTATTAGTATTTAGCAACTTTTCGTTGAGCATTTCTTTGACTTCCGTTCTAAGTTCTTCGTTGTTAAGTTTAGATGTATCGATCATCCTAGTTTTTGTTTTGGTCTTTAACTTTTTAAGGTTTATTCTCACAGACACTATGACGGGGTTGTGGTCTGAGTTCAAGTCCGCTCCAGGGTATGCCTTCGCTGAACAAACACTGTTGCGAAAACGCTTCCCGATCATCACGAAGTCAATTTGGCTTCGTACAATTCTATCCAGGGTTTCCGCGTTTGATCTCCATGTGTATAAGCGGCGGGAAGGCAGCTTGAAGAAAGTGATGGTAATCACGAGCTCCCTTTCCTGACAAAATTGCACCAGTCTATCGCCCCGTTCATTTGGCACACCAAGACCGTACTCGCCAACTATACCTTCTCTCGGTCTGTTTCCGACTTTCGCATTAAAGTCACCCATTACAATAGTAACGTCGGATTTATTAACCAGTTCCATTGCCTAGTCTAGATGCTTGTAAAACAATTCCACCTCTTCATCAGAGTGATCGCAGGTCGGTGCGTAGGTCTGAATTATATTAACGTTAAATGGATGTGCGTTTAATTGCAGTAAGATCACTCTATCGGATATTGGAGCAAATGCTTTGATCGCCCCTTTCACTTCTTCATTCACGATGATGCCCACACCGTTATAATGATTACGGTCATCATTACCTGCATACAGAACTTGATGCCCCTCTATCTGAACTTGACCTGACCTTGGCCATCGCATTTCACTAATCCCAAGGATTTCGATGTTCAACCTTCTCATTTCTTTTATAGCATTGTGGACTTTGCCAGCTTCAAACATACTTCGCGCATTCCATGTAGCAATCCTCCTCATGACTGGCCCGGAGATTCTTAGCACCCCCTGACCATCAAAGGTCTGCCGGGGACTGAGGGCCGTAACTTTAGCTTTTCCAGTCATGCTGATGATTTGTCCTGGGGAGTTTAAAGAGGTAGTTTCCCGTTGCTTTCCTCATCGCAGCGTCTTTGCCGTTGCAATCGATATGTGATAGTCGCCAAAGATTTTCTGGTATCGAGCCTTAAATGAAGTTTCTTCGGTAGCCTCGATCCAGTAATGTCATAGCTGCTTCCCTATGCCATGCTAGTTTTGGTCCACCCCGGGTATTTCATTTCCCCGGTACCACTCATATCTGAGAGGCGTTCCCCTATCCGCCACCCGGGGAGGCGCCCGATGGGGGACTAGCAACCCCCGACGAGAATGGCTTAACGAAGCAGTAAAAATAATAAGTAACTACAAATAAAGAATTTCATCTGTTTTGTCTTAAGTATATTATGAAATCAAGCAAATGGGAGAGTGTCGTCATCTCTTCAGTAAACGACAACTAGAAGAAGGCAAAGTCCCAAGGCGCTAATTATATAAATAAAATGGAAAAAAGCAGATTAATAAAATTTGAGTAATGCATGCATATACTATAACACAGAACACTTTTTTTATAGCGTTACGTAAGTAATCAAAAAGATTTATTGTCTTGTTCTAAAACACCAAGCATCAATGCCAGCGATATCTACAAAGTTGTAACTACATAAATCAAATCAAATAAATTGTGCGTAAAAACTTCCCGCGTATGCAAGCCAAATAATTTTTGTAATGACTGTTTTAAAATTTTGGGATACCTTCAACTTGACACTTTAGAAATCACCTATTCTTCTAAGAATCTGTTCTATATGGCAGTATTCTTTATACTTTCTCTAAAATGGCTAAATAATATTTTTCTATAACACAATCGGTATTTTGACGCTATGATCAATGCTTTAGATGTCGTTGCCTTTTAATGACTATGAACCGTACAATTTCATTTTATACAGGGTGTTAATTTGTAGCTGCCGCATATTTCGCAGTTTGATTTGTCAAGTATTTATAATGTAAAAAGTTAACATAATCGTGTGTTCTAAAATTCCTATGCTTATAAAAGGATTAAAGGTGTCAAAGTTATGTGTTATACATTGGTACGTACGAGTTTCTTGACATGAGAAATTTGAATTTGTTATAATTTAGCTCCTAGCTTTTACAATGTACTGTATTTTTTGTTTAGTAAAAAAAAAGAATTCCTGAATATTTGTTAAGTGAAACACGTCTCTATTAGAACTCGCTAGGTTGCGCTTAGTTTAAGAAATATTTTGGTTTGATGTAATAGATACATTATGTTTTTAAAAAAACATTTTTTCTAAAATTCTTTTGATAAATTAATTAATGTGCATTGAAGAAAAGTTACCAACTTATTTACAAGCAAATTACAGAAATTAAAAAAAAACACATTCAAATTAATATTTAACGTCTTATTGGTTCATAAACCTATATAGTTGTTCAGATATTTTAATTTTTCAGTTTTTTAGAAATCGCCCTATAGTAAGATATTAAAGCGAAGCTAATTAAAACCAAATTAAAATAAATACCTATCTTTTTTGACAATATGTCAGTTTCCCTTATTACATTTGCACATTCTCAGACACTCTATCAAAAATTATGTTAAGCATCGATCTATAAGGCCGAAACAACTGTAAAATTATGTTACCTTGCCACGTCTTCCAATGTGTATGGTTCTGAACCAATCAGCCTGTAAATATGTTTTAAATCCTTAATTATATATTTCGTTTTCATTTAATTTCTCTCATTGGAGATTTTTGGTTTTAAATATGTCAAAATGCAAAATATTCTATAGGAAATTCTTTACAAGGGTATGTAAATTTTTGATTTTTCCAATCTGATTACAGCATGCTATTTCGTGAAAATTTTTAAGAAATAGTTGTTTTAAATTGCGGCAGGTATATTTAAATCGTTGTATTGTTAATTTTGATGTTTTAATAAACGTTTGTATTTGAGGAGTAATATTTTCACATACCTGAGCAATTTTTAATTCTCACATCTACCAAAATAAGTAATATTAAATATAAGAAAATAATAAGTTTTTAAACATACCTAAACATAACCAACCAGAGTGCGGAATATTTGAAAGAGAGAAACATTGACATATTCGTTCTGGACGCGGATGTGTAGAGTTATGGTTAGTTTGATGATATTTAGCACTTATTTAATTCGGTAATTCCCCTTGTAATTAAAATTAGTTGGAATGCCTTTGGAATTCCTGTGTACTGTTCAGGGCGGTCTACTATCGACCAAAAACGGAGGTTTTTTAATTTTCGGCTATTTCAAAAAATGCCGACAACTTTTTTTTTCTGGTAACATTTTTGATTCTGTCATATGCAGTGGCCTACTCAGATTGTTTTTATCATTCTACAATTGAATATAAAGTTCTGGTCTTATAGGAGAGTAATCATATCGTATTGTATTAAGAAATATACGTGATGAGGTATTTTCAATCACGCATTGTTGTTGGTTGCAGTTATCAAGATGAATTAAAGACAAAACAGAACGAGATCAATTATAATTTCACTAAAAGTGGAAGAGAGAAAGAGGGAGAGAGAGAGAGAGAAAAGATAGAGGGAAAAAAAGAGAGAGACAAAAAAGAGAGAGAAAGAGAGAGACAAAAAAGAGAGAGACCAAAAAGAGAGAGACAAAGAGAGAGAGAGAGAGAGAGAGAGAGAGAGAGATAAAGTAAAGCATTGACAAAATGCAAGTAATTTTGAATGTAATAAACGAAACAATAATTATCAGAATAAAAAATAATTTAAAAAATCCATTTCAATTTTAGTATAGGTTGTCAAAATTATAGTAGCTATATATATATAGTAAGATATAATACATTCTGAATTTCCAAATGAATTTACAGCTGAAAAACAACCACGTAATTGAATGGGGATATATTTTTTAAAGAACGTAGCTAAATATGATTCTCGCATAAAATAAGTTGCTTGAAAACGTAAAATTATAAAAAAGGTCCGAATACGGTACTATATTTGATTTAAAAAGGCCCCAATAATGTAATATAAATCAATTGATCCTGAATAAAAGAATTCTTCTCCGCTTTGGCGTTTATTTATAATTTTATTTTATTTTCTTTTTTTTGAATATCTAATATGAGTCAAAAATTAAAATAAAATCTTAATAATTAACAACAAAGGAACGTTTTGATGCTTGACACATTTAATTTACTTTCGAGATAATTCAAAAATAACTAAGAAATCAACCCAGCGTCAATTTCGAAACTTAATATTCGCGAAATTAATTTCGATATCGCGATAACCTCAAGCGGAATCTGAAAATTCGAAAGGCCCGGTCTATAACTTACGAGCGTCTGACGACAAAAATTCCTACCGAACGATGCGATGCGCTGCGTCGGTTCCTAAAATTTGCTTATCAAATTTATTTCCTGACCATTCTCATTATTTCATCGTTCCGTAATCGCGAAGCACGTGACGTTGTCCTTACGGATTCTCCTACGGCGCCGGATTCAGGTTAGCATTGATGGCCCCATCACGTGAAACTTTCTCTCTTAATAAATCCTACGCAGGAGAATAGAACGGCAGTGGTGCGGTCGTACCGTGTGGCTGACACCTCTAGTCTTCTTCGCAGATCGATTTTAGTTTCGTGTGCGCAGCCTAAGTGTGTCGGACGAACCACCCCTGACGCTTGATATCTTTAGTCACTAATCTCAGCAATGGGAGTTCTTCAGTTTTGGTAAGCATACGTAGCCAATTATGAGACAAAATTTAGGAAAAAAAATATTCGTAAGCTCTAATAAAATTTTATTTATTTGTATTATACTTATCATTCAAAATGAAATTCCCAATTATGGAGTGGGTAACTTAAGCAAATGAAAATATTGCAGTAATACCAAAAAAGAAACATCAAGAAGAGAGATGAACTATAAATACGAACTTCGAAATTTTTTAACAATAACAGTATATGGTTCAGTCTTTATAGAGGATATGTTCTAGCCGCACTTGTTGCATTAATCCTTGCATCCGTTTTGGGTAGGTATTACAAATTTAACACGCAGAAAATAACGAAAATAATACCTCACGCTCATAGGTATTCTGACCATTGAACTTAACATTTGCTAAATTTTCCTCACAACTCCTTAAATATGAGACACAAAAGACAATTTTTCATCAAATGTCAGTCGGAAGTAAATTCAGGCCTACGCGACAGTACAGCACTATTAACTTGATAGCTAAAGGAATAATCTCCCTTTTTTAGAGAGAAAGAACTTACATTTCGAGGGATTGAGGCAGTTGATATCAAGCGTTGATATCTCTTGATTTAACAGCCTTTAAAAAATTGCATGAAGGCATTTAAAAGCGAAGACCGTCGATACTCAAGCGATATCGATGCTTAATCAGACGGGTAACCTGTCGCTAAGCTCGGACACAAACATTCGATAATGCTAATGATCTAAATATGGACAAAAAATTAAATAAATGAACAAATATGTAGAGTGTAGATAATTTACGAAATACATAATCATTGTGTAAACCAAATATCAGTAAATTAGTTTTTGTTAAAAAAAAATGAAAGGATTTTTGTTAATTATTCCAGTTGTTATATTATTTATTTACAGAAAAAGGGAATCATGAATTTTCGCAAAAGTTCCAAACAGTAAATATTGTAAATGTTAATGTGATGAGCAGGATGCGCTGGGTGGCAAAATAAAAACGCATAGGGAATCTAGACTCAATCCTTGGAACAAAATAATTTATTTTTTGCAGCATGTTTGGAGATTTATGCATCTCAGCAAGGGATAAAACAGTAAACATTTCATATAATAACTGATTGGATGTCTCACTCTCTGTCTAGTCTTGTGCCATTTAAACCCGAAAACTGTCGACATTCAAAGCGATATCGATGCTCAGTCAGACAGGCAACCTTTCGTTAAGCTCCTCACAAACACTAAAACGCTAAATTTGCATCCATCGACATATATGCAAAAAAAATACCAACTAACTAAGGGAACAAATATCATTCATTATATTTGTTTTGGATGCATACAAAATTAAAGGGTTTTTGTTGGCAATTTTAAAATTATTTTTTTACAGAGAAAAATAACGCATAAATTTTGCCAATAGTTCCTAAATGTACATTTTTTAAATGCAAAACATAAAAACGCATAGGGCGTCTAGACCCTATTATTAGAACAAGATAGATGCAGCATACTTGCAGATTTACGCCTCTCAGCAAGCGATATAGCTGCTGAAAATTTGTTAAATTTTTCTCACAGTTCAACAAATGTAGGACGCAAAACCCAATTTTTCATCAAATTTTATTCCTATGTCGGTAAATCCAGTTCCACGCCACTGTACTGTACTATTAACGTGATAGTCTTAGTGAATAATCTATTTTTTGGATAGAATGGATTGAAAGGTAAAGAGTTGGTATTACACCAAGTGCTAATATTAAACCACCAATACTAGCCGTGATTTAACAGTCCTTAAAAAAGTAGTTCCGTGCCTTTTAAACGCGAAGCGATTCTCAAAGCGATATCGATGCTCAATCAGACGCGTAACCTTTCGTTTTGCTCGCGGCTTTGGTTAAACACGAACTCGCTAAATTTCCGTCGATCGACGCCGGGTCGGCCATTTAAAGATTTTTGCCAGCCACAGTATTCGATAACGCTGTTAATTTGATGGGCAAAAGAGATAACTACCCAAATAAGGCAACATATATGTAGTTTTGGGTAGATAAAAAATTAAAAGATTTTTGCTAGCTGCTTGTAACAATAGTTTTTTACCATAACCGCTCCAATGCCGAAAATTCCATTTGCAACTGCAATTTTTAATTAGATTATTTTAAATTTCGTTAATTTAATAAAATAAAATAAACAAGAAATAACAGAGTAGTTTTCTAAATCTCCTAGTGGAAAATTAAATCTATTCTCAAAATAAGAAATTAAGAATGCAGGTCTGTGGAGAAAGGAAAAGGAAGTGTTTGAAAAAAAAATTGAAAAATTTAATTTTGCGAAACTAAAAGAGAAATTATTTTTAAAATTCGCCATATAATCTCCGTAACAATATAATTTCAAAATCTTACTAACATTTAAAGAATTTGTATTACAAGACTGAGAAAAAAAAATAAATTTAAGCACAACTAACTAAAAAAACCATATATTTCGATTGAGTTTTAAGTATTTTCAACACACCGCGCATATATTTTTATTGCATCAAACAATTTTACTGGATTATAGCCTAAAAATTAAAATTTTCGAGAGCAGAAACTCAAGTACGCTTCACTGACTTAATACAATTTCATCTGACACACACCTCGCACAAACATTGCTAAATTGGCTACAGTTATTTCAGGAGAAAGGAGTACTTGCGATTCTCTTATATTTGATATTAATGTAATATTAATAGCCAAGACATCGAGTCATCGGCAAAATTTTCTACAATTAGTTCAGCAAATTAATGTTACTTTTCCACGAACATTCGCCGGCGATTTGTAGGAAAATCGACGGGTTGTTGCAGAAGAAGCCGCTCGTATTGCGGCAAGAATTGCGGCAACCGAACGAAAATTTGCATAATACGTTATAAATTTCCGAGAATTCGAGTAACTAGGTAACGACTGGCATTTTTTGGAATCATGCCAGCTGGCGAATGCGCTTTTCGACCGAGATTTCTATTTCGGAGTAAATATTTTTGCTTCGTGTGTCGCCAATTGCGTTTATGATTCGAATTTAGCAAACATTCGCACTACAACGAAATTTTACAGAAAACAAACCGAAATATTAATATTAACTTCAATATCTAAATCATACTCGTCATGTCGCTGGTTTCGGCGATAGAGAGCGTTTAAAATTTACTCATAAAGATTGAAAGTCTTAGATTTTTTGACATGTCAATTAGGAATTTGAAATTAATTTAGACTTTGCTCCAGGAGGGCGCTAGTTTCACAGTATTATTTACATAAATCGAACCGTTCTTTTTTAATATGTCCAATTATTGGTTAAACATAATGAAAATATGAAACAATTTGTCGGATTTTGACTTACGTCCTTTTAAAAAGTTGATGGTAATTTTTCTTTTTTTTTTTTAAATAAATACTTACGAGGAAGAATAAAAAACCAATATTTAACAATAACAATTTTGATAATAAAAATAAAGAAATCATTTCAAATGTTGGAATTCATGTCTTTGAACGTTAGCGTATTTGGAGCTCCTTGTATTTCTTGCCTCGACTCCTGCAAACAGTTAATTTTTTCAGCGAATACCAATTCCTTCAAGGCTATATTGACTTCAGTGACTGGTTTGTTAAGCGCTTGCTCTGTTCGTGCCTAAAAGAACTAATGACTAAAATGGCGTTTATTAAATTTGTTGCATTTCGTACTATTAGTAACCTATTTTTATTGGATTCTTACTTGGTTTGTTATGCGAGACAAATTGCGGTAGTAGTAGGTACCTTATACTTCGGAGATTAAAAGCGAGCTGCGATTCCAATGTATGAGATATTCCGCCAGGCTGAGCGAATTCTAAAGACGACTTAGGAAAAAGTTAGTTTCGGAAAATAAGTGTTTTTTATAGGATTTATTAACGATGCTATTATTATATCGTTTATTTAGAATGTTACATTAAATGTTATACCTAAGTAATGTAAAAGAGATAGATTTTAATTTAGTTTGCTCTTCATATTTTTAATCACATGATGGCTGTGTACTAGCACGTTATATTGATTAATAAGAATTTTATTAATATCAAACCTAATGTATTAAAATTACTGAATTGGACCGAACATTTCTTTATCATCATCATGTATAGGAGAACAGAAGAGTATTTTGTAACTGAGATAAAAAACCATGAGCAGTGGAGCGATGGCGACATTTTTTTTATTATTTATTCATTTTTTTATTATTTTTTTTATTTTTATTTTTTTATTATATTTACCATTTTTATTTTTTTATGTTTATTTTTTTATTATAATTTCTTTAAAATTTTTATTCATTTTTTTAATTAATATTTATTCATTTTTATGAGCACCCAGTATCTCACTCTTAATTAAATAAACTACTTTGCTGCAGTCTGTTTCTGATACTATCCAAAACTTGAATATTATGGGAATATTGGAAGTGAAAAATTTGCTTAGGAGTTGTTATTTGTTGTTGTTAATCCGGCGAACCCGCATTTCCAGCTTTTTATTATTTTCTTAATTAATTTCAAGATACATTTGCCTTAACAATATTTCTTTGAGGCTAAATATTAAACGCAAATTTGTGTTTACGTATGTAAACTGAAAGAGCTTGAAGATTTAAAGTATCTAAAGCATAGAAACTCATAGTTAATTAGAAGTTGTGCAGTTTACTGTGCAAATTTAAATTGATATTTAAGGAAACGATATGTCTTCCAGTATGGTTAGCTTGTTTTGGTCTGCGTAGACAATTACTTCATTCAGAATAAGGAGAAATGAAGGTTGTTCTATATTCAGAAACTATCAAACAAAGCAAATTCCGTTAGACATTATAAAGAACATTAAAAATTAACATTTTAATTAGGTGTAATTGAAAAATCCCGATTTCGTTATTTGTTTGTTCGCTTAAAACCAAAAATTGGCAATTTCGATAATATTCCGTTTAATTAATTTTTTTCTGCTTTCTACTGTATTGGTATTGGCAAAGTATTTTAAGTCAGAAAGGCTTAAAAAAAAATAGTATTAAAAAACATGGTAAACATAAATTCAATATAAAAGTATAA